CGCCGCACCCTGTCACACACAGAGCCGTAGGGCGATCAGGGGGTTTGGGCGCTGCCCCCTGTCACGCTGATCCCGGTGCCGGGAGGCCTCGCGGCTCCGCTGATCCCGGTGCTGGGAGGCATATTACCCTTTTACTATATAGAATAGAGGCCTGGTGCACGGGTGGGGGCCGGCTGGTTTGCCCTGAAGGGTGTCCTGGATCAGGGTGGGGGTCCCCACTGGGGTGCCTGGCCAGTCTGGCTAAGGGGCTGAGGGCCGTTTTCAGGCTGGCCGGTGACTGAAGCTCCCAACTGCTCCTTTTTTTCTTTTTATTCTGGGCCAGCCTTAGCTCTGAGGCCTTGCTGCTGAAAGCAGGTTTCTGGCCTTTACCTTCTGTATTTGATACAATGTTGTGGTCCGGCTGGCTGAAGCCCGGCTGACTGAAAGCCGGTTTCTGGGGTTTTGTTTAGCTTCTATATTTGCAACATAGTTGCTTAGAGTTGCAGCTGAGAGGCCGGCAAATCAGGCGGGGAACGTTGGAGTCCGCAGTCACTGAAGCAAGCAAGCCTCCCTGCTCGCTTCAGTGCATGGCTGCTGGCCGCCATCTTGGCTGACAGTTAATTTGCATAAGGATATGCTGATTAGCCAATGGGAAGGGTAGCGGTCGTACGCTAATTACCATGTTTCTCTTTTATTAGATAGGATGTAGCAGGAGTTTGTGTGTGTGTGTGTGTGTGTGTGTGTGTGTGTGTTTAACATTACTTACTCTCTTACCTTCAGCCTCCTTGCAGATGGGTACAAGTCAGCCTTTCTGTTTCTACTCATCTAGATTGTATTTCTGCGTGTAGTTTAAATTTAGACTATAGGAAATTCATAATGTAATTGTCAGTATCCTTAATCTGCTAATCTGTTAGAAAAGGACAGGGCAAATTTAATTTGGTCAGAAATATAGTCGTAGTTTTCCTCCTTTCAGCTGTTGGGAAAGAGTTTGATTCATCTCTGTTCATTTTTTTTATCTTTCTCCTGACATCTCTGTCACCTTGCTCATCCCATTCCAGTCTAAGCTTATTCAATGTTTTGGAACTGTATGGATGGGAAATCTGTCTATGGACTAAATATACCAGTTCCGAGATTCTATTGGGGCTTTATATGTGTATCCCACATACTAGAGCCTCAACTCAATACATTCTGGATCCTGTCTTTTATATCTATCTATCTATCTATCTATCTATCTGTCATCTATCTTTTTGGATCCTTGTCTTTTACAGAAAAAAAAATATTGTAAAAGTTTACTATCAGAAATGTACTTTTTTTCTCTTCAGTAAAATAGCCTGTATAATAAAAAGCTAATATGCAAATTGACTGAATGGCGGAATGACCGGTCTCTATGATGTGCACTGACCACCAGGGTGGGCAGACGCTCAATGCAGGAGCTGCCCCCTGTTGGTCAGTGTGCTCCCACAGGGGGAGCTCCGCTCATCCAGAAGCCAGGCTCACAGTTGGCGAGCGCAGGGGTGGTGGCGGGAGCCTCTCCTGCCTCCATGGCAGCGCTAAGGATGTCCGCCTGCGGGCTTAGGCCTGCTCCCCGAGTGGTGCGGGCCTAAGCCATCAGTTGGACATTCCCTGAGGGTTCCCAGACTGCGAGAGGACACAGGCCGGGTTGAGGGACTCCTCGAATGCACAAATTTTTGTGCACTGGGCCTCTAGTTTTTTTTAATAAGATAGTAGTTTGTATCTAATGGTGGCTCCGTTTTCTGAGAGAGGGAACATGTGCTATTTTCCTTTTTGTGTTTGGACTTTATTTTGGTTTCTGAGCTAAAATGAAACCAGCTTATCAACTATTATAACTTTTAATTGTAGAGAAGTTGACTAGTGAGATTCAGAGTCGGGAAAATAAATGCATGGCTATGTACAAGAAGCTGAGCAGGTGGCCAGAGTGCAACGCCCTTTCCCGGCGCCTCTTATTGAAAAAGTGAGTAGATGCTTCTTTTTGGACTATATGACTAGGATGGGGTTTTCAGGTGTCATTATTGATGTGTTTTGTCTATGTCTTTTGAGATTTTTGGGCATAAAGTGTGTCCTGAAAACTTTAAAATTTAAAAAAAAGTTTTTGATGAACCATCTTTCAGTAAAGAGTTATTAGGTCTTTAAAATGAACACTGAAAATCATTTGTCAAATTTAATATTCAATATTAGCCTAACCTTCCCCTCTCCCCCATTTAGGAAGTGCTAATGTGGGGAGTTTTCTGTTAAGAATATTAATTTTCTAGATCTGGTCATTTTATTGAAGGAAAGAGTAGTATCTTAAAAGTTTTTTACTTTTAAAACGCCTCTAGAGTGCTGTGATTTGGGGGCTGTAGGGGAAACCCAGAGGGAAGGGTAGGCTACTAGTAAGAACTAAAGTATAACTTAGAAATAAGTTGAATATCATGGTTCCTAACGCAGATTTGTCATAACTTGTTTTTAATCCTGTGTGTACCATTCAATCTGATTTTTAGCTCAGATGACTGGCAATTCTATCTGACTTATTTCGATTCTGTCTTTCGACTGATTGAAGAGGCCTGGACTCCTCCTGCTGAAGGTGAACAGTAAGTTGTCTTCTTTCCTGAATTACAGTGGCACTGTTTTTGTTGTTGTTGCTTTGTTTTGCTATTTTTTTCTTTTATTTTACAATGGCATTTTTAAATATATTGTAGCAAAAAAATTTCATTGTAAGCCTAATTGAATTCTCTTTTCTTGTCTTAATAATTTTATCACTTGCAAAGTCGGATTTTTTTTTCCATTTTGTAAAATTATAAAGTAAAAAAAAGTTTTTAAAAAATTTTTTAATTGATTTCAGAGAGGGAAGGAGAGGGAGAGATAGAAACATCAATGATGAGAGAGAATCATTGATCAGCTGCCTCCTGCATGTTCCCTATTGGGGATTGAGCTCACAACCTGGGCATATGCTCTTTACTGGAATCGAACCCAGGACCCTTCAGCCCACAGGCCTCAGCTCTATCCACTGAGCCAAACCAGCTAGGGCTAAAGTAAAACTTATTGCAAAAAAAGTTCCTTTTTTTTTTTTTTTTTTTTTTTTTTTAAAGAGGTAGAGTTGGTTAATCACTCAGCAGTAATCAAATGCCACAATTGGGAGTAATCATAGTCCATGTTATCTGCCAGAATATGCTTACAGCTCTTTTATTCCATTTGTATTCTATATAATAAAAGGATAATATGCAAATTGTCCCCTCAACCCCGAGTTTGACCCAAGTACAACCAGGGAGTGGGGGTTGCCCTGCCAACTGCCCAGAGCCCCTCCCCCTGGCCGGCCCTGTACTGATTGGCCCTCTGATCAGCCCCCCCCCCATTAGGGGTGGGGCCGGCCAGCCAACCTCCCACGTCCCCTTCCCCCAACCAGCCCATCCCATTGGCCCCTATCGAGGCGGGCCAGCCAGACCCCACCCATGCACAAATTCGTGCACCGGGCCTCTAGTTGTTTTATAATTATCAAAATGCTTTATCTTATTTTTTTATTTGTTTCTTCAAATCAGTTTCACTTTAACTTTTGGAATGGACAGTAGAGGCACAAAATACCTTTTTCGTGTGTTTATACCCAGCTCTTTAGAAGGAGAAGTACATTATTCTGCAGAAGAAGCTGTGAAGTTTATAGAAGATCGGATAACAGAAGAATCTAAAAGTTCTCGTCATCTTCGAGGACCACATCTAGCTAAACTGGAGCTGATTAGACGTTTACGACGTCAAGGTTTTAATGATGAGTACAAACTGGGTAAGAAACTGTAGTGATACTTGGGAATCCTGGAGACAGTACAGGGAAGCCCTTAATACCCAAGTGCAGTATTCATTTATCTGAAGCCTACAATAACAGAGTCCTGTGTAGGAAGCAAATGTCTCCATAACCTGAAAATAATTACTAATGAATGGATCACTTATAAAATTAGCCCTCGATCTCTCTCTTATCCATCAGAGTCTTTGTCAGACATTTTCTTTTTCTTTTTGCTGATCCAACAATAATATCAAAATCAATTTCAAAGTAAAATAGCCAGTTTCATAAAAGTTTCAGAATTTCTTGAAGTGGATGAAAGTTTTATTGAAAATCTGCTCCCAGCTCTTACATTGATGAAAGACTGTCTAGCAGAGTTAGGGCAATTAACGAAGATAAAGTTTATAAGGATAATGACATGGGAGAAAATTAGTATTTGGATAGTGAAGCATTCAGAGAAGCCTTCAGGAACTTTGATGAAGCATTTAGATGTTTTTATAAAATGAATGTTTTAGCTTATTGCACAAGAAGTGAAGGGTGTCATATTGTGTTAGTTTATAATTTTGTTGGAAAAATGGCATTCCTTCTCCCCCAAACCAGTAATTCTTTGTTAATACTAAGTGTTAGCTTATAATAATAATGCCCTAAATTTTGTTATGTTTAAGATAATAAGCTTTTAACATTTTTCAATTTCATTTTTTAAGCTCCAAAGAAAGCTTTTCCCTCCATTTATTGTTATGGAAATTTTGTTCTCAGTGGAAGTTTATAAACTTTAAGAGGGATTTTTTTTAGGGACCAGTTGTCCTGGGATGATGATCACTTCTAATACCTAAAACCTGTCCTAGAATATCTTTGTTCATTTTAATCATCTATCTTCATATTTTCGGAATCTTTTTTCATTTTGCTTTTCCGGTTGGGTGTTTTTTGCTTCTTCGCATTTCAAATCTTTGACTTGATTCTTGCGCTCCTCTGGTCTGCTGTTGGGTGTCTGTATAATATTCTTTATTTCAGTCCGTGTATGCTTAATTTCTAGTTGTTTCTTTATCATAGCATCGAGGGTCTCATTAGTTTTCGTGAGGCTCTCCAAAAGTTTATTGCAAGCCCTCAAAATTGCGTTTTTTAGCTCTATATCCTCCCTTTCTGTCATGTTTTTTTGTCTCCGCATTTTTTATGCTTTCTTGGTGCACCCCCTTGTGGTCTTTGTGCCCAGTCTTGTTCTAGTTAAGCCTTGATTGTTGTAGTTAAAACTAGAGGGATTTGACCACCAGGCCGACTGGCTGTGAGAATCAGCTGTGTGAAAGCTGTCCTCTAGGGAGGTGCTAATCTAGCCTTTGCCTGAGGCGATCCGGCAAATGGCTCTGCGCAGGGCTTGGGCGGGGCGGGGCGCACCGGATCAACAGGGCGGGCGGAGGGAGCGGTTATGGCTGCCCTCAGTCCCGTTCCCAGAGGCTCTGCTTCTCAGAACCCCAGGAACCGCTGCAAACCTCGGAGAGAAAGCTGCCTTCCAACTGATGCCAGACACTCCCGCTTCTCCCGTTTGAGTCCGAGTCCCCAGCGATTCGCCCGTATCTGGAGCTCAGAGTCTGAGACTCCCCCCTGACCGAAAACGACAACCGCGCTCTCAGCCACCAGCCCGCTTTGCACGCGCACCTCCGCACCTGAGTATTTTCCACACTGCGCCTCCTCTGAGCCTCGGTGTGCTGTTATTTTTCCTTCTAGTTGAAGAGTCTCTCCTCAGCCAGCCTTCCTGTGGTTCTGGGTGATGTCCATTCCGTCTTTTAGTTGTATTTTTGAAGTGGTTGTTTGCGGCAGCAGTCTGCGGTGTTTACCTATGCCGCCATCTTGGTCTCTCTCCTAATCATCTAATTAATGTTCTTTGTAGCTCCTTCTGAAATGAACGGTGAACTTCTCTCTGTCATTCCCTATATAGATTACTCACAATCAATTTTGAATTCCATGTTAACTTCTTTCTTGCGTCTACCTCAATAATCTGTGTATGTTAGTTCCAGAATTGCAAATGAAAATTTTCGAGTGACCTGTAGTAAGATATTATTAAAATAGATTCCAGATAATTGTTTTCTCTACAAAGCTGGATATAAAAGTCTTTGGATTTGCTTTGACAGTTAATATATTTATCTTCTATCTTTCTCTTCCTTATTGCCAGCCACATCTTACAGATTAGTGAATTTGTCTAGTCTCCACAATTAAAAAAACTTTTTTTTTTTTTTTTTACCAGACCAGTGAGTGATTTTCAGTCTCTTTTGGATCACAGAGTCCTATGAAAATTGGTTAGAGGGACCTCTGTTCCCAAACACATGTGAATAGGAACTGGGACCTAAAATCTTACACAACTCCTTGGTTAGAATCTCTGCTTCTTAAACCTCGTTCAATTTGAGAACATTTTATTTTTATTTTTTGTTTTTAATTTGAGGAAAAAATAAAATGAACTGGTAGCTTTCTGCATTTCCAGGTTTAAATTTTTAATAGTGGGCGATCTTGCTGGAGTTATTGGCCTGAGGTTCTTCCCATTTATTTTCTCTTCTGTTGGTGTGGCTATTAACCACATTACCTTTCATTTAATGAACATTTATTTGATACTGCAGTAGTTCAGGAACTGTTGTAGAGAAGCATGTTTGTTTAATGTTTGCATGTAAACTTAACTCTTTAAACTTTGATGAAAACTTTTTAACTGTTTAAATTTTAATTGAATGAAAAGCTTCACATTTCCTAAGTGTATTAATAGGTAAACTGAATGTAAGATTCTACTCCTTTTAAAAGTATTTTTTTATTTTTAACTACGCAAGCTGCCTTCCAGCCCTCATTGTTATTCTCATTCACTCTCACTCAAGCATTCAAACAAAATTTTAATTTAAGGATTTTTCAAATCAGACCTTTACTTAAATTAGAAATTGCTTCAGTCCATGAATAACTGGGTGGTTTTTATTTTTCTCTCTTAGGTGACCCAGAAGAATTAATGTTTCAGTATTTTAAGAAGTTTGGGGATAAACCTTGCTGTTTTACAGACCTCAAGGTGTTTGTTGATCTCTTGCCTGCTGCACAGTGTACAAAAGTAAGTACTATTCGGAATTCTTTTGGGTGCCTGTATTTGTTGTAACTAGGTTAAGTGTTTGGGTTTCCTTTCTAAAATGTGAGAGAGTGGTGAACATGAGATATCAAGATAACTGCTCTATCAAGCCAAGTACTTCTAGGGGCTATCAGATTAAAGGCATGATTTCTTGATAAGTTAAGCCACAATGAGAATAACCCCTTTGTAGATAATTAGATTCTCCTTTTTTTGTTTTTATGTGTGTGTTTTTGAGATAATTGTAGATTTATATGCAGTTATAAGAGAAATAATACAGAGAACACTGTATACCCATCACCCATTTTGCTCTAATGCTAACATAGTGCATAATTATAGTATAATAGCATAATTAGGAAATTGATATTGATACAATCCACTGACCTTATTTGAATTTCCCCAGTTTTGTATGCATTCATTTGTGAGTGTGGTTTTTTTTTGTTTGTTTATTTTTTTGTTTATTTTTATTGATTTCAGAGAGGAAGGATAGGGGGAGAGAGAGATAGAAACATCAATGATGAAAGAGAATCATTGATTGGTTGCCTCCTGCATGCCCCTACTGGGGATGGAGCCCGCAAACCAGTCCACAGGCCAACGCTCTATCCATTGAGCCAAACCAGCTAGGGCTGTTTTTTTGTTCTTAGGGCAGTATGTAATACATGTGGATTATGTGACCACCACCACCATCAAGATACAGAGCAGTTCACTATTAGGATCCCATGTGCTACTCTTTTTTACCCCCAGCCACCTCCCTGCACCTCCCCCTTTCCTCACCCCTACCCTCTGGCAACAACTGATGTTTTCTATTTCTACAATTTTGTCATTTTAAGAATTTTATATAATGGAATCATATTATGTATAACCTTTTGAGATTGGCTTTTTTCTCTCAGCATGTTACCCTGGAGATTCATGCATTTGTTACATGTATCAATAGTTCATTCCTTTTTATTGCAGAATAGTATTCCACGTTACTTACTTTCTCATATTTGAAAGCTCTCTTGTAGGAAAGGGATGAGAACCAGTACTAAACCTCTCTCTTCCACTCAGTCAGCAAGTTGTTACAGGGAATTCAGAATTTAGTGAGAAAAAGATCTTTTTAGTAGCCAGAATTCTCTAAAAATAGTGTTTGAATTTCATGTTACTGGAGGGATTTATTAGTAAGCAGACTATGAAACCATGTGGGAGAGATTCATTCAGTGTTTGTAGCACTTACAATGTGCTAAGGGCTAAGCTAGGGAACAACTGATCATGTCTTATAGTGCTTACCATCTTGTAAGTTGAAGCATCAAATGATGGGGATGCATTAGAGGAACACTTATATTGTCATCAACTGAGATTCATAAAGGTTTGCCAGTATGAATCTGGTACCAGCCGCTCTGCTTTGCTGGTATGTTTGAAAACCCTAGGTCAGTGGTCGGCAAACTGCGGCTCGTGAGCCACATGCGGCTCTTTGGCCCCTTGAGTGTGGCTCTTCCACAAAATTCCATGTGCGGGTGCGCACATACAGTGCAATTGAAACTTCGTGGCCCGTGCGCAGAAGTCGGTATTTTGTGGAAGAGCCACACTCAAGGGGCCAAAGAGCCGCATGTGGCTTGCGAGCTGCAGTTTGCCGACCACTGCCCTAGGTCATCTCACAGGATCTCATCATAGTGATGTAGTAAGAGGAACCCTCTAGAAATGCTGGAATACTAGCAATGATAAAGCAGTCATTGTTCTGTGATACAAAGGATTTAAAGCTGCTGCAATGAGTTGTGTAGTTCTATGTAAATTTTTCATTGAAAGGGGTAATTTTGCTGCCACAACCTTTTAAATGTGGGATTCTGCTGCTTAGCAGTTTGTAAAAGGATTGCAAAGTGCCCTGTAAGGTTCAAACTGAGAACTGTTGTCCCAATGAATTAGGAGCCAAATTCTTTTAAAATGGGACTAACCTCTAATTGAAGAAAAAAAATAGCATATAGTCAAAGTTGTTAGAATGTGTAATATATTTTATTATTTTATTCATTTTTATTGCTCATAATTATATTCACATACATACATAATCTATATATACCTGAGGCCTGGTGCATGAAATTCTTGCGGGGGGGGGGTGTTCCCCTCAACCTGGCCTTTGCCCTCTCGCAGTCCGGGAGCCTTCAGGGGATGGCCAACTGCTGGTGGGGAGCGGGCCTAAGCCAGCAGTCGGACATCCTTAGCACTGCCAGAGAGGTAGGAGAGGCTCCCGCCACTGCCTGCTGCGCTCGCCAGCTGTGAGCCCGGCTTCTGGCTTCTGGCTGAGTGGCGCTCCCCCTGTGGGAGCACACTACCAGGGGCAGGTCCTGTGTTGAGCATCTACCCCCCTGGTGGTCAGTGCATGTCATAGCTACTGGTCATTCTGCCGTTTGGTCTATTTGCATATTAACCTTTATTATATAGGATAAAAGCCAAGCGACCAAAACACCAGAATGACTGGAATGACCAGTCGCTATGATGCGCACTGCAGTGGCCATCCAGCCTGATTGGGGCCCCGATTGGCCCCCCCCAACCTCCTGTGGCCCCTCTCCCTGGCTGGCCTCGCCCCCGATCACCCCCCCCCCCATTGCCCTCCCCCATCAGGGGCAGGGCTGGCCAATCTCTCACATCCTCTCTCCCCTGCTGCCCAGCCTGATGGGCCCCCATCAGGGCGGGCTGGCCGGACCCTACCCGTGCACGAATTCGTGTACCAGGCCTCTAGTCTGTATATAACTTTATAGGTGTGGGGTGTATGTACATTATATTTAAATATATAATTATTTAGATACCTGATAAAATTAAACATTGACTTTAACTTTAAAATATAATTAATATTATCAATATATCAAATAAAACAATGTATATTTTATTTCATTACTCTATCTTAATAAAATATGGTTTGGTGAATAAAAAATGATATTGTAAAAGGCTTTTAATTTTTATTTTTTCTTGATTGACGTCTTTTTCTAGACCATTTCAGTATTTTTTAATTATGGCCTACTGAAAACTAGATCTGTTTTGAGACCTGTCCCTTTTTTTTTCCACTCTGCAGTTTATTAATCAGTTACTTGGAGTTGTTCCTTTGTCGACACCAACAGAGGATAAGCTGGCACTGCCTGCTGACATCAGAGCTCTGCAGCAGCATTTGTGTGTGGTGCAGCTGACGAGGTTACTAGGCTTGTACCACATGATGGATAAAAATCAGAAATTGAGTGTGGTCCGAGAACTGATGTTAAGATACCAGCATGGACTAGAATTTGGTGAGCAACCTTTCAAAATGTGCAGTTGTTCTCTGATATGCTAAGACTTAGAAGTTAGTTTTGTTTTGTTTTGAATCACAGCATCCTGTTTTAATGAGATTGGCAAGGAGAATATTTTGATGCGCACTGCAGTGCAAAGCCTTTCTAAAACTTGGAGTTTTATTATTATTATTTTCTTCCACATTTCATTTCTTAAAACTTTAAGTGTAGTCGGCACATAGTATTAAACAAGCTTGGAGTTTTAACTAATTATATTGTCCATATTCTTCCCGATCTGGTGAGCTATCACATCGGGCTCATATGAATTGCATAGTTTATGATAATTGTCACGTTTTCTGCTTATATGCCTACATAAGTGAACAAAAGGAATGTTGTAAATTGTGAGGTATTTAGAAGTAGAAGATCTTCAGATTGCTAGGTATATGTGATAAAATATCTGATTAGATGATATCAGTATTTCTTTAACAGCATTCTAAAAATTTAGGTGAAGTAATGAGCATAACATGGCTTCAGTTATACATGGCCGTGGCTTCTGTGCTTCACCTAAAGCCTTTCAAATCTTGCTGCTTTCCCTGTTGGACCATTTTGGATACCATCTCTGTTCTGGAACCCTTCTGTTCCAGCTGAGTCTAGTCTCATCATTTGAATCCTTTGGTTCATGGCTTATATTTTCTTTCGATATTTACCCTGTTCTTCTTATTTCCTTTCCCACCTCTCTCCTCTCCTTCTTATCACTGTTCCTGCTCTAAAAAACTTCTTTGGAGCAGTAATAGTTAAATAATGTTAAATACAGATGATTTTTTCCCCCCCTGTAGGGAAATCCTGTTTGAAAACCGAATTGCAGTTTTCAGACTATTACTGTCTCCTTGCTGTCCATGTGCTTATTGATATATGGAGAGAAACAGGTAAGGAGCAATCATTTCATTTTGATACTACTCTTTTTTTAATTGACTATAAATCCATGGACTAATTACATAATCCAAGAATTTGATTTATGCTTTTAGATTTTTCTTTCTTGCCCTTCTCCAGGGTGCTTCTAGAAGAACCTAAGTCTCCACGTATCTCCCTCCCTGCAATCAGGAAAATCTTAAATCAGTGGATATCTGTTCTTTTTAAAAATATTTATGAATAGTGAGTAATGACTGTAGAGAACTTATTACAAAGCTACAATAATTAAAATACAGAGAAACTGATTTAGAGATGGATGTATAGGCCCATGGAATGGAATAGCCCCTTTACTCACTTAAAAAAATTATATATAGCAAAATGATCAGTTCCTTTCCAGTTTGCTTTTATATTCTGCCTAATTGTAATAAAAAATTAAGACATTTTTTCTTGTAAAAAAAATTATATACAGGAAAATGCACTCTTTTTGGAATACAGTTCTGGTTAGCCCATTTAAGACAAAAATATAATATATGGTAAAGGATGATTCAGCGAATGGCATTGAGATTGCCTTTTCTTTTTTCTTTTTAATATATTTTTTATTGATTTCAGAGAGGAAGGGAGAGGGAGAGAAAGATAGAAACATCAATGATGAGAGAGATTCATTGATCAGCTGCCTCCTGCACGCCCCCTACTGGCGATCAAGCCTGTAACCCGGGCATGTGCCCTTAACTGGAGTCAAACCGGGCACCCTTCAGTCCGCAGGCCAACACTCTATCCACTGAGCCAAACCACCTTGGTCTGAGATTGCCTTTTCTTTAGGTTGCCTCCCCCTAACATTTTCTCTTATTAGCAGTTTTTAGGAAAAAATAACTTCAGATACTATTGCATGTTATTTACTAGAATAAACTATAGAAGAAACAAAGGGCTGGGGAGGGAGTGGTGTGCAAGATAGACACAACCCCTGCCCTCGTGGATCATTTCACAAAGTACTCAGTTTTGTTACTGTTATCCTCATGCTTAAAATTCTCCAGAGGTGCCGTATTTTCCTGAGGATAAAGGCCAGCCTTTTCAGGGTAATTTATAATGCCTTTTTAAAATCCAGCTTCTGCCTGCATCTCCAGATTCTTATGTACGTACAGTCCTGAATCTACTGGGTTTTTTTTTTGAACATCGTATTGCCTCTCTTAGAAAAAACTTTCTTACCTCCTTCCTCTAACTTCTACTCAAACAATACTTCTGACAAGATGGTCTTTATTTCACCCCCTCCTTCACTGTGGATTTCATGCCTCTTCTGAACTTTTTATAGGACATTATATGTACCCATATGATAGTATTTGTTACACTGTATTATACTGGGATTGAAGGTTAAATCATCTTTATTAGAGTATTTGTTATCTAAACCCCAGATTCATGAGGTTGCATAGGGCTGTAAAAGTCACCCTAATGTAAAAATCATTGATGAACTATTTACTTAGCAAATTTGTCCCTGCTCGAATACCTTGCCCCACTTACCTCTAACATGCAGTCTTGCTCATACTGACTATGGCTTTGTTAATTTCTTGTTTTTCTTTAAGCAAAGATATCTGGCCATCTAATAGTAACAGCTAACATTTGTTGGTCATCAGACACTTAAAATATTACACATGAATTAGCTAATATAAACCTCAAAATGATTCAGTTAAGGTTGTTACAGTTTTACAGATGCGGGAAATACAGGGCAGAGAGAAATAAGTTAGGTAAGTTGTCCAAAGTCATACAGTGCGAGTGCATGGGAAATTGCAGATATTATAAAGATACAAGTTTTTAAAAAATATATTTTTATTAATTTCATAGAGGAAGAGAGAGAGAGAAAGAAATAGATGAGAGATAGAAACATCAATGATGATGGAGAGCATTATGCTAAGTGAAATAAGCCAGTCAATGAAGGAAAAATACCACATGATCTCACTCATTCATGGATAATAAAGACCATTATAAACTTTTGAACAATATTAGATACAGAGGCAGAGCTGCCTCAAACTGATTGTCAAACTGCAGTGGGAAGGCCAGAGAGGGTTGGGGGGCAGAAGGGAGGGGAGTAAGAGATCAACCGAAGGACTTGTATGCATGCATATAAGCATAACTAATGGACATAAGACACTGGGAAACCAAGAAACATCAATGATGAGAGAGAATCATTGATTGGCTGCCTCCTGCATGCCCCCTACTGGGGATCGGGCCTGCAACCTGGGCATGTGCCCCTGACTGGAATCAAACCCAGGACCCTTCAGTCCGCAGGCCGATGCTCTATCCACTGAGCAAAACCAGCTAGGGCCAAGTTTTTTTTTAAAGTCAGTGAAAGTGATGTTGAAGTGCTCCAATCGTAGGCATAGTCATTATTCATGGAGGATCTGGCAGAAAATTGAAATTTATAGAAAATTGGTAAGGATGTTGAAAAAGACTGATTTGAATATGAAAGGACTTACGAAGATTGCTTTAGGAAATTGGTGATGCTCTCAAATGTTTTTGCAAAATGGCATTTCTTTATAGTTATGCAGCAAAAATAAAAGGGGCAGTGAAGAATGTCATTTCCCCCTCCGTTTTATTGATATGTAATTGATACATTGTATTACTTTAAGGTATACAGTATGATGATTTGACATATGTATAGATTGTGAAATGATTGCCACAATAAGTTTAGTTAACATCTATCCCACACAGCTATAAAATTTTTCTTACTAAGTCTACTCTCTTAGCAACTTTCAAATGTACGATACAGTATTAACTATAATTACCATGCTGTACATTATGTCCCCAGATATTATGTCATTTTGTTATATTATAAAATTTTGTTAGAAAAATTTTGTCCCTCAAAAAAACCTCATCAGTCTTTGATGCTCTTTTTGATTTGGTAAGAATTTGTGTACAGTTGTAGTTATATCCTAAAATTTGCAAAATAAAATGATACATGTTTTTATAATATTTGGTTCAATAGTTCAGAGAGAAGTATGAATTAAATCTTTTTTTTTTTTTTTTGCTATTTACTTTGAAATTTTGTTTCTATTTTAAAGAGATCTTTAAGATTTTTTCCCCCCTGATACTAGTTATCCTTGAACAGCTAGAATTTCTTAAAATTTTCTGTTCTCTATAATTGTTCAACTCTCTCTTTATTTTATTGGAGTAATTCGTTTTTAAATATATATATACTAGAGGACTGGTGCATGAAATTCATGCACTCAGGGGGTAGGGATCCCTCAGCCCAGCTTACGCCCACTCTCTCACAGTCCGGGAGCCCTCTGGGGATGTCTGACTGATGGCTTAGGGGAGCGGTCCTAAGCCAGCAGTTGGACATCTTTAGCACTGCCATGGAGGCAGGAGAGGCTCCTGCCATCGCCTCTGTGCTTGCCAACCCTGAGCCCGGCTCAGGGCTTCTGCGTTGAGCGTCTGCCCCCTGGTGGTCAGTCTGCGTCATAGCGACTGGTTCAGTCAATTTGCATATTAGCCTTTTATTATATAGGATATTGATTTCAGAGAGGAAGGGAGAGGGAGAGATAGATAGAAACATCAATGATGAGAATCATTGATCGGCTGCTTCCTGCATATCCCTTATTGGGGATCGAGCCCGAAATCCAGGCAAGTGCTCTTGATCAGACTCGAACTCGGGACCCTTCAGTCCACAGGCCGACACTCTATCCACTGAGCCAAACCGGCTAGGGCTTAACTCTCTTTTTTATTCAGTTCCGAGCCTCTTGAGGCTAGGAACCACCCATGACTCTTATCTTCAGGTTGTATATGTAGTGTTGCTCAAATGTAGGTCAGGGAATGTTTATAATCATAAATAAAATTATGATTATAAACACCAGGTAGCAACATGGGAAAACACAAGTAAAAGAGCAGAATGCAAAATTGGATGTATGCTATGACTACTACTGTATAAAGTAATTAAAGTTCAGAAGCATTATATTAAAATCCTAATGGTAGTTTAAGTAGATTATGTGTAGTTTGCATAGTTTGGGTAGGATTATAGATATTTATCTAGAGCTTCAATTTTTTATTATCTTGTTTCTTTTTTCTTGGAAAAAAAGCATATACTATATAATTTTAAAAGCTTAATAGATAGAGCTTTTACTTTAGTTGTTTTTTTTTGTTTTGTTTATTTTTTCCTGATTGTAAAAATAGCATATAAAAATTTTGGAAAGCAGTTTATTTTAATCTCACTTTTCCTGCTTCCACAGACACTCTAAGACAGCGGTTCTCAACCTGTGGGTCGAGACCCCTTTGGGGGTCGAACGACCCTTTCACAGGGGTCGCCTAAGACCATCGGAAAACACATATATAATTACATATTGTTTTTGTGATTAATCACTATGCTTTAATTATGTTCAATTTCTAACAATGAAAATACATCCTGCATATCAGATATTTACATTACGATTCATAACAGAAGCAAAATTATAGTTATGACGTAGCAGCTAAAATAATTTTATGGTTGGGGGTCACCACAACAGGAGGAACTGTATTAAAGGGTTGCGGCATTAGGAAGGTTGAGAACCACTGCTCTAAGATTTTGCACATTTCCTCTTTTCTTCCTCTGCATAATTTTTAGACTGAAGATGAAGTCTTCATGCTAATTTGAATTTTCTATATGTGTCTTACTGATAATTATTACAAAGTATTTACCCCCCTGCCCTAACCAGTTTGGCTCAATGGACAGAGCATCGGTCTGCGGACTCAAGGGTCCCAGGTTCGATTCCAGTCAAGGGCATGTACCTTGATTGCAGGCACATACCCATTAGGGGGTGTGCAGGAGGCAGCTGATCGATGTTTCTCTCTCATCGATGATTCTAACTCTCTATTCCTCTCCCTTCCTCTCTGTAAGAAATCAATAAAATATATTTAAAACAAAACAAAAAACAAAAAAACCCCCCACAAAGTATTTACCCCTGTTGTTAAAAACTCTTCGTTAACACCAGATGGCTGTATGATGTTTCCGGGAGTGGTTGTTACTGTAATTTATTCAATCACCCCCATTTATTAGTACAATGAATATTTTTGTAAATAAAGCTCTATCTGCATTTCATGTTATTTCTTTAGGTAGATTTTACATATATATATATTTATTTATTTCAGAGAGAAAAGGAGAGAAACATTGATTGGCTGCCTCCTGCACCCCACTCTGGGGATGGAGTCTGCAACCTGGGCAAGTGCCCTGACTGGGAATCGAACTGTGACCTCTTGGTTCATAGTTCGACGCTCAACCACTGAGCCATGCAGTCTGGGCTAGGTAGATTTTCTTTTATTTTTTAAAAGGATTCCTCTGCTTTTTTTTTTTTTTTTTTTTTTAATATATTTTTATTGATTTCAGAGAGGTAGGAAGAGGGAGAGATAGAAATATCAATGATGAGAGAGAATCATTGATCGGCTGCCTCCTGCACGGCCCCTACTGGGGACTGAGCCCTCAACCCGGACATGTGCCCTTGACCAGAACCAAACCTAGGACCCTTCAGTCTGAGGCTGATGCTCTATCCACGAAGCCAAACTAGCTAGGGCCAGGTAGATTCTTAAAAGAGAATTAACTTAATCTTTAATACTATAGTTACATGTGAACTTCTGAGTTTTGGTGGCTCAAAATGTGTATCACTTTATTTTGATTATGAATGAGCAATTTTTTTTCAAATCTTATTTGATATCCTATTGGTAGAGTTACATATAAAAGAAAAAATGACGTTTAGAGAAAGCATCTGGGTCTTGTAGAGAAAATCCTGAACTGGGAAGATTGGTGACACCAGTTCTCCTTCAAAGTTCGTCTCTTCTCGGAATCTAGGATTCCCTGAGATTCCATAACTTCCCTCTACAAGTCCTGGCAGCTTAAAAGTTTGTGTCAGTTTTATAGATGCATATTTAAGAATTGAGGTGCCTATTCAGGGAAACCCCCTGTTTTGCTTATAGGTGTGTATCTAAAATTTCTTCTCTGCCATCTAAACTCATTCTTAGAATAATTAGGGGAGGTGATGATGTCAGCAAGTTTTTGTTTTTGAGAACCCTATATTTGCTGTCAAGATCTGTGGGTAACGCTATTATATTTTGGTTCTAGGTGACGAGACTGCTGTGTGGCAGGCCTTGACTTTGCTGGAAGAGGGATTAATCCATAGCCCTTCCAATGCTCAATTCAAATTGCTGCTTGTTCGAATCTACTGTATGCTGGGAGCATTTGAACCTGTGTTGGATCTGTACTCCAGCCTTGATGCTAAGCATATCCAGCATGATACCATTGGGTTGGTAGTATATACTCTGAATAATGAGCAGTCAGCTACACCAGTGTGGGGCTCTGATATGTGAAACATTTTGATTTTAGCAGCAAAGTTGTTCCTGGTATTAAGTTTTTTAGATGAAATAATCACATATCATGACTCATTGAAAAACAGTAAGATTTTTATTTGCCAGCATTATGTAGTAATGTTAAGAATTGCATAGCTTAGAAATGGTAAGAAAGTTTTTCTTAGAGACAACAAATGGCTATATACTTTGAACCCTTTTTCTTAGCATACATGGTTTTGAAATCTTTACTTTTGGCTTGGACTTGAGGTTGACACCTGTACTTCATTTGTTTTCCTCAGAGATTCTTTGAATTTGCGTTGGAATTATTCTTTGTGATGAATCGGGGTATTTTCTCTATTCCCTGTAGAGCTGTTTCAGGAAGATAGTATTCTGTTCTTTCATAATCTGTGCTCCATTAATTATCTGAGTATAAGAAAGCATGGCATTGAACTTTAGAGCTTCCCCAAAACTGAATTAACTTTGTTCTTTTTAAAAATTTGATTCTGTAAATTAGATTTCTGTTGCAAGATGTTTTAAATTTTCCATATGCTTAACTATTTCTCTGCCAAAATAATTTGAAGTATAGTATATGATATTATAAGTGGGTAAGTATAACATGTTTTTTTCTCTTTCCTTCCGACCTAGTTATCTTTTGACCCGATACGCTGAATCCCTAGGTCAGTATGCTGCTGCATCCCAATCCTGTAACTTCGCACTCAGGTTTTTCCACTCCAACCAGAAAGATGTAAGTGAAAAAAAAAAATTTTTTTTATGGTCTTGCCTGTTGAATGCACATGATTCAGAGAGCATCTTCCTGTGTCACAGGTACACTTAAGGTGTACCTTGCTGTACTTGCAAGTGCCTGTATGCCATAGCTTATTGGCCAAGACTGATAGGTATAGTTGAAGTTATTTGTGGTTGATAGAATCCATACAAAGGTGTTAAAACTGGGTATTAACAGAATAGGAAGTTTTATGCCTCTTAGGTCGGTCTTTTAATCTCTAAGAGACTTTTTCCAAGGACATGAGAAGCTGTGTAAGATTCTGCGATAGCAGCTGCTCTCTGTTACCGATTTATTTCTGAAGTCTATAACCACTGTGCTCTTTGTCAACAGCAAATGCACTTACATTTTCTTAGAATTATAAAATTGACCAATTGAAGGTCATTTCAGCAATGAATAAGATAGAGCTTTTATGTGCCATAATGAAAGGATGGGATTTGCACCATATTTTTCATTGCAAACAGACTTGGTCTCCACTTGTCAGTTAAGCAGTCGTTTTTGTGGAAAAGCCATATATATGGTTTCTACTCAGTTGACCAACTATGCAACACTACCCAGGAACATTGTGAAGCTAAGGCATGTCTTCTAGGATGGTCACTGCCGACTGGTTCTCATGTGCTTCCAAGACTCATCGCCTGGGATTAGGCCATTCCAGATATCTGCCCGTAGCTCTCCATTTTCTGGTCTAATAGCAACCAAGAAACTGGGCCAGCAAGCTGGTTTCTGGGTTTCTTCATGACAAACACTCATGAGGATTTTTAAAAAATGGTTTGTAACTATAACAGCTTTGGCTAATCTATCTGCTATCTAATTCTTTAAGGGTGTAGAAAATAGAAGGGCAGGGCAGAAGCATTTCTGAATACTAGAATATAGGTTTGTTGTTCTCAGCTTGTAATAATTATGTCCTGACAAGTTTCAGGGCATGGCTTGAAGGACTGGTATGCTTCATTTACTGGCTTTTAAGCCCTATTTTCCTCCCCTTTGACCGCTTTCCCCCACAGTTGTTGGTATCTCTGTTCAGACCTCATTTTGTGCCATAGCTCCTGACCAGGGAGAGAGTGAAGTAGGCATCAGCATTTGAACATATTGCTCAGAAGGTGCTGGCCTGGCTTAGAGGTCAGGGAGTATCTTTTGGACCTTGGATTTCTAAAATTTCTTAGCATGAGTGGGCAGTTATAAATCTCTTGAGTTTTCACTGTGCATTCAATTATCTGTGCTTTGCCTTCTGTTTTCAAGTAGTTTTACTAACACAAAAGAAAAAACTGTGTTCCTTAAATCTCATTCTAGCTTTCATTTCTATATTTTAAGGAAGAGGCTAATTAAACATTTGATTTACTGAAGAATTCTTTTCAAAGTTTTGTTTCTCAGATAGTTTTGAAGTGGGAGTTGGGGTAAATAAGGGGTTAGTTCAAGCCTGGTGGCTGGTTTTACTTGTTTCCAGTCATTTAACGTTCTTAAAGAGCCATGTTGTTCGTGACTTGGCCAACAGAGATACATTATTTACCCTATAGTTAAGCTTTAATTATTCCCCCACAAAAATTGTGTCTGAAGAGTTGTTTTGAACACACACACCAAATAAAAGTATTGTAGTAGGGAAAGGAGATCCCCAGGAGCAATTAGAGAGGACATGTTGTCTCTAATGTGGCTTTTTGTATCTTTGGTGTTTTGCTGATGGCTGTATGTGGCAGGAGTGACAATTCATCTCAATGCTTGTAATGCTGAACCTGATAAAATTATAGTGTTTTATTGATCTGGAACTAGGATGTTCTATTTGACACATTTGTTTTTATTACTACTAACTGGGAAGACAGAGCTTACTTAATTATATTAGGTAAATAATCTTTGGGGATTCTGGAGGCAAAAGCAAACACAATATAGTAAGGAAAACACACCTTAAACCTTAGTGCCTAGCCCCAGACCCCAAATATGAAAATGGAGACTGGTGTGGACTGTTTCTTGTAGGAATTTGAGGCTGAGGAAGATCACGGTTGTAGTGTTGGTACTATATGTGTTAAATCTTCTGGTGTACTATTAGAAATATCTCTCTGGAAACAAAAACTCTACGCTCTATATCTTTTATTCTTGGTAGTTTTTAGTGTCCCCATTTGGTGTTTCCTTGAGTGACTGATGTATTTCAATTCCCAACTAGCTCTTTGAAAGAACACTTTTACTCCTAAATGGAAAATCTGGTTTTCTGCTTTTTAAGGCTTTGTGCTGTGGAATCAAAAGTTATATTTGGAAGGTCTGCACAGGAATTTTCTCTCTGAGAAGGTGATTGTCTGTCGTCATTATTACTTGGGAATAGATTTTTACAATGTGAGAATTAGTGCTAGATTTTCATATCTTCATAAGTTACTTATATATTTATACTTTAAAAATTTCCCTTTAAAAGTCTTTATTTTAGGTATCCATAGAAATTATTATTCAGGGGTTTGATGTCCATGTATTATGCAAATTTTTAGTGACCAGGGTTCATTTCAGGAATCCGAATGGGATCTAAATAGCTTCAGTGGTTCATACATGAATAGAAATAGGTACGGACAACATTCTCTGATATTCAGAAGTCTTTAAAGTGCTGGTGGCTTCCAGTTTTGCCTGCAGTTCTAATGGCGGTGGGTGTCTTCAAATTGTAGTCCTTTCCCGGCTTTTGTCCTATTGGTAGCTGCTCGAGCCCTTTTCTAGTTCTGCAGTGACAGTTTACCGCAGCATTAAAGGAGGACTATCGTCAAAAGAGCAACTAGAGAACTAGAGTTACCTTCTCAGTTTGTTAAAGGACTACATTCCCTCTTTGTTGCCCCCTATTTTCTCTTTTTAAAGCTGTTGCCTTTTTCTAAAGTGGTAGTCCATGGACCACTTCAAATTAAAACTACTTCTACACTCAGTAAGGCTGGGTTCTTTCTTTTAAACATATCATATTTTGGATCTGTAATTGATAAATTTGATTGGAATCACCAAAGTCATATTTTATCCTGGTTAATTTTTGGATCATATGTTCCTAACCAGCTATTTTTTTTTTCAACTTCTAAGTTCCTATTGCAAGGGCTGCTGGTAAACCTTGCTGTTTTCCAAGCCAAGTGGCCATCGGATAGGCATGTGTTTAGAGTGTCCTGGCCTCTTCCTATAGGGCCTATCACTGTCCTTTAATCAGGCTCGATTAGAAGGTACACTTGAGCTTTTTCAGATAGTCCTTCTTTAAACCTGCAGGATCACAAGTAATCTTTTTAATTTTCTTGTGTCCGTCCGTCTTTAATTTCTCCAGATACTGCAGGCAAACAGCTCGCCGAGGTGTCCCATGGGGGTTTAAAAGCCGCATCGAATGCAGTTGAATTAGCGCCCGTGGCGCAATCCCGCGGCCTGAAATGAACCCTGCGAGGCTGTGTATCAGAGGGTATGTTGTGAACTATTGGCCTATTTTCCTATTGGGCAGATAATTGGAACGTTATGGAGATGGGGGTAAAGCAGATTGAGGTTATGCCAAACAGACTGGAAAGGATCTAGAAAGGATTTTTTAGGGTAGACATCAGCTTTGAACTTCACACTTTCCTTGGTCCAAAGGGGTGCCCTCCTGACTTCTAATCCTGATGGCATAGGTCCACCTATGAAATGTTCTTCCTTGAGATTTTGTTCTGTTGTGCCAGAATTTCTGTTGAGAATTCTTTATCTTGCCTCTGTTTACAATGTTTCATCTGTAAATGTGTATTAATCTAAATTAAAGCAGATGTGGTGAGTGTTGCCTTCACTTACTTGTTTATGTATTTTTCCAGCAAAGGTCTTAGGTAGTTTGGATGGACAAGTAGTCTGGTTCTTGAAGTCTTTCTGTTCTCAGAACAGATTATGACATGAGTTTTTTAGGTCTTTTGCTTGGCGCCTTATTTCTATCCTGATATAATCCATGTCCTATGTTTGTGATATTGTATTTAGAAATAAATAAAACCAAGCAGCAGCTTTTTTTTTTTTCTGAAGGAGAGTGATTTTTTGGGGGGTGGTGTTGGTAGGGTTGTTATATAATTCTAGTGTTTTGTAACCTTTGTATAAAACAGTCTGTCTTAGATGCAGAAAAACATGGCGTAATATCCCTTCCACAATGGCACAGACCAAATTTTTGACTGATTTGGTGTAACAAACCTCCAGTCCTGTTGAATTGAAAGACAAAATTGCGAATAAAAAGTTTATATGGTGGCAGCAACAGCTGGGTATTACCAGTGGTAATATTAGTAAAGAAGACATTTGACTCTGGTATAGGAAAGAAGGAAAATAATGTTTTAAAAAGCCGATAGTCTACTTGGTGACCAAGGCCTTTAAAGAGTAGATTCAACATCTTACTTAATTTTAGTTTGAGGGTTTGTTGTGTTTTTTTTTTTTTTTAAATTTTGGCTGGCAATGTTTGCCTTCATTGTCTGACCTGTGAAATATTTATACCAAGGTAATGTCTTTCCTTCCCAGACCTCAGAATATATTATTCAAGCTTACAAATATGGTGCATTTGAGAAGATCCCAGAGTTTATCGCTTTTAGGAACAGGCTGAATAATTCTCTTCATTTTGCACAAGTCCGTACTGAACGGATGTTGTTAGACCTTCTACTTGAAGCAAATATGTAAGTACTAGAGGCCCGGTGCATGAACTCATATATGAGTGGGGTCCCTTGGTGTGGCTTGTGGGGATCGGGCCCCTGCTTGCGCCCCCAGCCTCGCAGCCCTGCAGCCCCGCAGCCCTGCAGCCCTGCCTGGCACCCCACCACCATCCCGCCTGCGGGGTGAGGGGTGATCGATTGGGAGGCGCCTGGCTCCTTCAGGGCCTGGGAGCTGTGCGGAACCCCCCCCCCGCCCTGCAGTCTGAGGGGCGATCGGCGGGGCGATTGGGCCACTGCTTGCACCCACCTTGGCCTGGCACCGCCTGCTCACCTGCTCTACCATCCTGCTGCAGTCCTGCTCTCATTGGGGCCCATTGGGGCTGGCAGCACCTACATTGCTGCCAGCTCTGCATCGCCAACGCCTGCCATGTTCCACACCGCCCCCTGGTGGTCAGAGCACATCATAGCGAGTGGTTGAACTCCCAGTCGAAGAGTTTGCATATTAGGCTTTTATTATGTAGAATTCCATAAGAACTACAAAGGAACTAAGGGATAAGATCAAATGCTGAGAGCCTTTAATGGACTCATGGGTGACATTAACAGGTTTAAGCCAAGGAAAAATGGGGGGGGGGGGGGAGAAAATAGAAGGGGATGCAGGGAAGAAAGGGGAAGATAACTTGATATATGTCATGAGAATGAGAGAGTACTGCCAGCTTCCATACAGAAGCCATCTAGGCTCTGGGCGATATTGTGTTTATAAGGATCCCTGCACACACGGGATTTCAGGGATCCACTTTGTTTTTGGTTGGGCTTCCAGACTCAGGCTGGCATGATCGGTGCTTGGTTCTCTTTCACCTTCTATGAGCCTTTACTACTTTTTAAAAAAAATATATTTTTATCTACTTCAGAGAGGGAAGGAGAGTGAGAGATAGAAAAATCAATGAGAATCATTGATCGACTGCCTCCTGCACGCACCCTACGGGGATTGAACCGGAAATCCGGGCACGTGCCCTTGATCGGAATCGAACCCAGGACCTTTCAGTTCGCAGGTTGATGCTATATCCACTGAGCCAAACAAGCTAGGGCGAGCCTTTACTTCTTAATAGAAATCCTTCCCCCTTTCCTTGCTAATAAAACAAAGTCCTAGCTAATATGTTTTTATGGCTGGTTTATAACTTCAATAATACATAAATATATTTTATATACCACAGATCAATCAGCTTAGCAGAAAGTATAAAGTCGATGAATCTTCGGCCAGAAGAAGACGACATTCCATGGGAAGCCTTGCGAGACAACAGAGACTTAAATGTTTTCTTCAGCTGGGATCCAAAAGATAGGTAACTGGAAGTACCCCCCCAAGCAATTTATTTTTAAAGAATTAGAATGAATCTAAGAATTGGGTTTTTTTAAACCTTTTTACACAAATATAATAACATGTTTATTGTAGGGATCAGAAAATATAGGTAAACCAAAGAAAGAAAATAAATCTCACCCCTATATTGGGATTAAAAGTTAGGTCCTTCACAGCATCTGTGCAAACAGACTCCAGATAGATTAAAGATTACGTTAAAACTTCTTAGAAATTCTAGAAGAAAATATAAAATAAAAATGGTTAGGGAAAGCCTTTCTTAGCATTACATCAAATCTGGAAACAAAAGATTTAACCTTTGCAAATATTAGCCCTCTATATAGAAGTAAATTTGTTAACAAGTTCTAAGGATATGTGGTAAGTTGGTAAGTTTCTTCATATATATATCAGCTTATCAGAAAGTATAAAATATATGTGTGTGTCTGTGTGTGTGTGTGTGTGTGTGTGTGTGTATGTATAGGTATTTGTTAATCCTCACCTGAGGATATTTTTTCCATTGAGTTTTTTTAGAGAGAGTGGAAGGGAGGGGGGAGGGGCAGAGAGAGAGAGGAGGGAGAGAGTATGAAACACCTATGTGAGACAGACACATCGATTGGCTGCTTCCTGCATGCACCCTGACTGAGGCCTGGGATAGAACCTGCAAACCACGACCCTCTGGTGTGTTGGCCAATGCTTTAATCACTAGATCATGAAGATCAGGGCTCTTTATATATATTAATAGCCTTCATATATAGAGAGAACTAAGAAGAAGATAACTAAAAAACTAATTGGGTAAATGGCTTAACAGGAAATTCAAAGAAATGTATCTTACAGCAGTAAAAATATTTTTTAAAAATATATTTTATTGATTTTTTACAGAGAGGAAGGGAGAGGGATAGAGAGTTAGAAACATCGATGAGAGAGAAGCATCGATCAGCTGCCTCCTGCACACTCCCTACTGGGGGTGTGCCTGCAACCAAGGTACATGCCCTTGACCGGAATCGAACCCGGGACTCTTCAGTCCCCAGGCCAACGCTCCATCCAGTGAGCCAAACCAGCGAGGGCCAGCAGTAAAAATATTTTAACCTGTCAGATAAAGATAAAAAGGATTAATACTGTGCTCAGCAAGGTGGTGGGGAAAATCGTTTTTGTACGTTTACATGGGGGTGAAACTTTATATAACTTTCCCTAACCAGGAATTTTAGTGATGTGTATATGTATCAAGATTGAAAAATCCATATACTATTTAGTTCAGCAGATCTGCTTCTAGGAAAGTGGAACCTAAGGAAATAGGTTGTGCAGAGATATGCCTATGAGGTAGTTCTGAATATACTGTGACTTGGGGATTGCCAAGAACACATTTAGTGATTTGCAAGGACTCATGGGACTCAACATATCCTTGTTCTCACAGCTAAAGTTTATTATAATAAAAGGATACATGACAGGATCACCAAGGGAAAAACATACAGGTGGAATCTGGAGAATTCCATGAACAGACTTCCAGTGTCCTCTCCCTCCTGGGAGGTGCCCTATCACACACGCTCCTTTCTCTAGCCACGGAAAATACAGTATTGAGTGTGCAATGTTTCTGCTTAGAGAAGCCCATTAGAGAGTTGGTGCCCAAGGTTTAGGTATGCTTTGTGTAGCATGTACCAACATTCTAGATTCCCAGAAGGAAAACAGGTGTTCACCATAAACAATAGGCTTATACAGTCTAGGCACAGTGAGCCACTCTTGTCATTTAGAGAATGGTTGGAGTACCAAGTTTCCAGACATCAGCCAAGAGCTACCCTTACAAGCAGGCTCTTCTAAATTAATAGCCTCAGGCTTGCTATGTTAATCTTTTCTACACATTCTATCATTAAAAGATGCAGTTTGGAAAATAGTATGAATACTGTAAACCTGTGTTATTTGCTTAAAATAAATTGTATAAGTACTTTTAGTTGCATACTTTTAGTACCCCTGTATTGCAAAAATCTGAAATCTATAAGTTTGTTAATATGGTGGATGCTTGGTTATCAGGGCATTTTTCTTCTCCTTTTTACTTTTCTGTCATTTGAATTGTATTATCAGAAAAGTCTCAGTTAAGGGGAAAATAACCTGTTAGGTAGGTTGTCATTCCCGTTTATGGATACCTAAATGGGGACTTGGATGATTTTGGTTTGTCTAAGATCATTCAGCTAGTAAATGAAAGCTGGGACCACTCAAAGGCATCTTGTCTGATGAAAGTTAACTTTGAAAGATTTAAAGGCAACAAACACATTTAGTAAAAGGGATGGTTTGGGGATTTTTTTAAAGGGATGTTTCTGAAGAGCATAAGAAACTTTCCTTGGAGGAAGAGACCATGTGGTTAAGAATCCGTTCCTTAACATTGAGGCTGATCAGTGGACTCCCAAGTCTTAACCACCCTGTGGAACCAAAGAACTCGGAGAAGACCACTGAGAACGGTGTAGCCTCCAGGGTTGATATTCTTCGTTTGCTCCTTCAACAGCTGGAGTTGGCCCTGGAGACAGGAAAGCGATTTATTGAGAAGGAAATTCAGGTATATACTATCGAAGCTTCAGTAATTTATGACTATCTTTTTAATAATATGAATTTGGGTGGGTGAATCGTAAGAAACAGAATTTTGTCCCAGTTTATGACATTTGTAGGAAAAAGGCAAATATTACAAACTTGGGCAATTGTAGAGGCTGTCTCAATATCCAAATTGGAAAGTGAGGAAAAGCAAAATAGCTTTTTTTGGTGATAGTAAATTATTTTTTAATCTTTACCCGAGGACACATTCATTTATATTTAGAGAGAAGGGATAAGGAGGGCAAGAGAGACAGAGACAGACAGACATTAATGTGAAAGAGAAATATCAATGGGTTGCCTGCCCTATGGGCCCTGACCAAGGATAGACCCTGCCATCTAGTAGATATGTGCCCTGATCAGGAATCGAACCCTTTCAGTGTATGGGACAATGCTCCAACCAACTGAGCCACACTGGCCAGGGCTGTGATGGTAAATTTAAAAAATATATATTTTTATTGATTTCAGAGAGGAAGGGAGAGGGAGAGAGAGAGAAAAACATAAATGATGAGAGAGAATCATTGATTGGCTGCCTCCTGCACGATCCCTACTGGGGATTGAGCCTGCAATTCGGGCATGTGCCCTGACTGGGAATCGAACCCTGACCTTCTGGTTCATAGGTTGACGTTCAACCACTGAGCCACGCCAGCCAGGCAGTGTGATGACACATTTTTAATAGCTATCTATTTTCTCTATAATGATGTAGTTGTTATCACAGTCCCCTTTTACTCTTGGTTATGCTTTCCACAGGTATGGTTGGTTACCTGCAGTCAAACACAGTCTGAAAATATTAAACGGAAATTTCTAGAAATAAACAACTTATAAGTTTTAAATTGCTTGCTGTTTTGAGTAGCACACTCACACTGTCCTGCTCCATCCCGCTCCATCCTACCTGGAATGTGAATCATCCCTTTGTCCAGCATTTCCACACTGTATACACTACCTGCCCTTTAGTCACTTAGTAGCTGCCTTGGTTAACAGGGTATTGCACTGCTTGTTTTTAAGTCACCCTTATTTTACTTAATAGTCCCAAAGCACAGAGTAGTGATGCTGGCAATTTGGAAATGCCAAAGAGAAGCCATAAAGTGCTTCCTTTTAAGTGAAAAGATGAAAGTTCACAATTTAATAAGGAAAGAAAAAAGTCTCATGCTGAGGTTGCTAAGATCTACAGTAAGAACCAATCTTCCATCCATAAAATTGTGAAGAAAAAAAAAAAGAAATTTGTGCTATTTTTCTGTTGCACCTCAGATTGCAAAAGTTATGTCCACAGTGTGTGGTAAGTGCTTAGTTAAGGTAGAAAAGGCTTAAATTTATGGGTGGAAGACATAATGAAAATACATGTTTTTTTGTGGGGTTTTTTTTTAATGCAAAATACATGCTTTGATTGCTGGCAATGTGTTGTTCCCAAAAGCACTGATCTTATACTAAGACTTAAGCAAGGAGTTCCTTAAAACAAGTGACCACATTCACTTAACTTTCATTGTTATATTGTTACAATTTTTCTATTTTATTTTAGTTATTAATCTCTTGTCTGACTTATAATTAAATTTTATCATAGGTATGTGTGTATAGGAAAAAAATAGTATATACAGGGTTTGATAGTATCCATAGTTTCAGGCATCCACTGGGGTCTTGGAATGTATTCCCTGTGGATAAAGAGGCGGCGGGGGGGGGGGGGGGGGTCTACTATAGTTTGCTGATCAGTGGTTTGTAACTTAATCACTAAGATAGATTTTTATCCATTAGTTACAGCCATTTGTTTTCTTATTTTGTATGAATTTAAAGAACATCACGTTATTCCTTTCTTTTTCAGTATCCTTTCCTTGGTCCTGTGCCTACCAGAATGGGTGGATTCCTTAATTCTGGCTGTTCTCAGTGTCAGACCAGTTCTTTTTATCTTGTTTGTGATATTTATGAGCTGGATACCAATGGTTTAGGTAAGTGTATGTTTGCATGAGTCTATTTAGTGGGTCTTTGTCATTGCAACATTGCATTTAGTAAATGCGACAGAATATCTATAACTCACTATTTGGAAAAATTTAAAGGAGATGGAAGCTGGAAGCTGTTCTGGAAATGTCTGGCTTACAGGGAAGTACATTCAAAGGTTATAAAGTAATATTTTAGAAGTTTAAGTCCTTTCCATATTTGAAATCTTACTAAGTTCAAAAGCTGAATAAATTCTTGATTTGTTACACTGTTTTTAGATTTCAGATTGAATTCTTTGTTTAAAAATGAAGCCCTTAGCCCTGGCTGGTGTGGTTTAGTTGGTTGGGCATCATCCTGTGCACTAGGAGGTTACCTTTTAGATTCCCAATCTAGGGCATATCCCCGGGTGTGGGCTCAATCCCTGGTGGGGGCGTACAGGAGACAACTGATCGATGTTGCATTCTCGCATTGGTGTTTCTCTCTCTTTCTCCCTTTCCCTTTTCTCTTTAAAAATGGATAAATTATTGTATATATGTCACTCACACACACGCACACACACACACACACACACACACACATTGATCTGGCTGACATACACACACACACACACACTGATCTGGCTGACACACACACACACACACACACACACATTGATCTGGCTGCCTCCCCGCATAACCTACACTGGGGATCGAGCTTGCAACCTGGGCATGTGCCCTTGACTGGGAATGGAACCGTGACCTCCTGGTTCATAGGTTGCCAGCTGTGCAATAAACTGTTCTTTAAAAATAAAAAAGAAATTTACAACTTTGTGGAGAAAAGTTTCTTTCTAAGCTCTAAAACCAGTGAGAATCACAAATATTCTATAGGCTGTGGTGTTGTTTTTTCTTCTTCTGAATCATAAGGTTTGTACTTCCTGTCCTGTCATTTGGAGTATTTGAAACACATAGATTTCTAGTCCTTCTAGACTAGAAATCTTTTCCTTTATCTTTTCTCAGTTTTTCTTTTCTTTTCCTTTCATTTTTCTCTGTCTCTTAAGAGAAAAGAATGTCTTTGCCTACATGTGGCTTGCAGGTATTGAGCTTGCTAAAAAAAAAAAAAAATGAATGTTTTTCATTGTTTTTCAATTTTAGAGGATACAGTAGAGATCCAGGAGCGAGTAGAGAATATTCTTAAGTCTTTACTAGAACAGTTAAAAGGTAAGCGTTCTTACTGTGTGTCCCCTTTTGTATCTGATTGTCTGATAATAGCTCATTTTTTTTAAGTTAGAACTTGCAAGAGGATTTGAAAGTAATGCATGCTTTTGATATGTTTAAGATGTGCTTTTAACTTTAAAAGGTTTTATTACAAAAGCCATAGATACCTATTATATAAATAGTACACAGCTATGTATGGTCTTTCCCCCGTTGCCAGCCCCATTCCCTCAGAGTAAGAACTGTTGACACTTTAAAGTCTATATACCTAGAAACCACCCAAACTGCCCATACATGTGTATATGGAAATACATAGTAGTAATTGTCTTTAACATATGAAAAGGTATAACATGCTTTTCTGACTATAATTTGCTATTATCTTGGATATCTTACCATTTCAGTTACATGTACACTCCATTCATTTTAATGACTGCATAATATTCCACGTTTTTTTTTTTACCATTGTACCAAATTTGTTTATGCTTCCCTCCATCGAATACATAATATACACTTGAGTTATTTGTAGCAGTATTTATAACAGCATATATATAAGAATGCTGAAATGAACATCTTGAAACACAAGTGTTTGGATACTTATTGAGTATTTTCTTGTGATTAAATTCCTAGAAATGGAATTATTTGGTAAAAGGATACACATAAGCATTTTAAATCTATAAGGGACTTTCTCCTCAGGATTCTAAACAGTTTTTAATTTTATTGCCCAAATGAAGAATGAGAATTAAAAGATAATCAAGATTATAAGAATTAAATGTGGTATTTGTTATGAAGGTGCATCTCTACCGTGCCCTTAATGGCACAAGTTCTTCTAAATTATTCACTGGGAATCTTAATTTTATTGTGCCAGTGGCCTATTTGTGAAAAGGCTCAGACACTAGAATATGTAATTTATAAAGCTACCTTTTATATTTTAAAGACAATAGATCAATAGTCATGTGGCTTTTAAAAGAGCTTAACATAGATATTCTTTGGTATTTGGTTTATTGTGTGTGGATGGGAGGCTTTCTTGATTAAGCTTTAATATTTGTTTATTCTCTAGTAGATTGTACATTGTGTTCCTAAGAATAACATGAAACAAGGGCTGAATAAAACTATGAAATATTTTTCTGTTTTTAGATGTCTTCAGTAAATGTAAAGGTGATCTATTAGAAATTAAAGATGGTAACTTGAAAACACACCCTACTCTTTTAGAAAATCTAGTCTTCTTTGTTGAGGTATGTTTTGTTTTTTTCCTAAAAAACTAGATTGTTCTCTATTGTCTGAAGGATTAATTTTTCAAAAATGAACAGATAATAGGCACCCTAGACCTGTAATTTAATCCCTCACCCCTGCCTTTTGTTAATTGAAAAACAATGTAATCATCTTGAAAGATTTCTGATCCACTCCAAATCTAGCTGTTTTCTGTTCATTTTCCTTGTTGACTCAGCTATTATGTAGTTTAAATTAATTCCTCCAGCTTCTTTTATTTGTCGGGCTGTTCTCTAATTACTGAGATTCTGCATTATGAAGGATGATCCAGGAGCTGATATATCAAAACTCTCCTTCTTTTAGCTGAGAGGAGGATGTATCACAAACACTGATAACATCTTTTCTGTAATTTCTGTGGCATTTTTTTTTTTCTTTCTTTTCTTCTCCTACTAGTCTGTAAACTTTCTGAGGGTAGTATTCTCTGTTCTGGTGACTGCCACATTATAAGTGCCTATAATACACTGAATGAATGAATAATAATTGCATGTATATGTACATGTGTGCACTATAGTATAGAAGAAGACATACAAACATCTAACAAACAGGATATGTGCTGACCAACTGGGGAGATTCTCCATATATATTTAAGTTAAGGTTTGCAGGTAAGGTAGTATCTTACTTGGCTGAAGAGGTGGGTGGAAAGAGACATATTGTAAAGAACCTTTGGATTCCATGTTTAGGAATTTGGACTTTTCACTTGAGTGAAAAGGATGTTAATAGATTCTCACTTCCAATAGGCAAGAGAAAGGAAATAGGATCAAGTGGAGCCTGAAGAAAGGATAAAGATTTAAGCTGTATTTAAGCTGGAGATGATGAAGGCCTGGATTAATGTGGTGACCATTGACATTAGAGAATGGAGAGTTGGAGGAGAAATTGAAGGCATTTGCTTAGAACAACTGTCAATTTATTTGTTTAATCCATTACATTTAACTGTTCCTGATTGATATCTTGAGTGTAATCGTTATTCATGAATTTGTAATTTTTCCTCTTTCAGACTATTTCTATTATTCTGTGGGTGTCCAGTTACTGTGAGAGTGTCCTGCGACCATACAAATTAAATTTACAGAAAAAGAAAAAGAAGAAAAAAGAAACCAGCATCATCATGGTAATAACAGAAAATACAAGTAATAATCTGGCTCCATGCTGATTTTTGTTTTCCTGCATGTTGTGAGACCTTAGGGTCCTATATGCGTTTATTTTCTTTCCCCAACTTTAAAAAAAATTATACACCTACAGGCACATTGAAATACTAATATAATGACACCCAAATAGCCTTACCTAGTCTCACCACTTTATTTTATTTTATTTTTATTTTTTATTTTTTTTTCATATATTTTATTGATTTTTTTACAGAGAGGAAGGGAGAGAGATAGAGAGTCAGAAACATCGATGAGAGAGAAACATCGATCAGCTGCCTCCTGCACATCTCCCACTGGGGATGTGCCCGCAACCCAGGTACATGCCCTTGACCGGAATCGAACCTGGGACCTTTCAGTCCGCAGGCCGACGCTCTATCCACTGAGCCAAACCGGTTTTGGCGTAGTCTCACCACTTTAACAGTTTGCACATTTGTTTTGTTTCACTCTCTCATCTCCCCTGCCCCTTCATTCACTGTGTTTAAGATAATTTAACAGTCATGAGTACAAAGTCTGGAAGGATAGATTAGAGTTGCTCTGTTACTCTCTGTGTTAATGGAGGCCTACAGTCCTAGAACTTGTTAAATAGCTTTTTGGTATTTGGATTTTGTGGATTTTGTAGTTGTTGCTTTTCTAATTCCAAAAATAAAAATAACTTTCCTATTTTTATGATCATCTAAATAACCTAACGGTGTAAATAAAGTGAAGATCATCCATATTCCCACCAAGCAGTGACAGCCACTGCAAACAAACCAGAATCATGCTCTGTAGGTTTTGCAACTATTGGTTTGTTTTTGTTTTTTATTTAATGACATTTACTGACATTTCATTTCAGTTAATATATATGTATCTCATTACCTTTAATGGTTATATACTATCCGGTCATATTAATACACCACCATAACTTATTCCCATTGATGAATATTTGGTTGGTTCTAATTTTTAAATATTATAAATTATGCTTTTATTAAAATATGGACATATACACAAAGATTATAATATTTTCTTACGATATCTCATAGATCTAAAGTTACTATGTATGTACATTTTTACATTCCACAACAGTGTTGAGTGTATCTGTACCCTTACCCATCTGATAGGCCAGTGATGGTGAACCTATGACACGCGTGTCAGAGGTGAGACGCGAACTCATTTTTTTGGTTGATTTTTCTTTGTTAAATGGCATTTAAATTTATAAAATAAATATCAAAAATATTAATCTTTGTTTTACTATGGTTGCAAATATCAAAAAATTTCTATATGTGACATGGCACCAGAGTTAAGTTAGGGTTTTTCAAAATGCTGACACGCCGAGCTCGAAAGGTTCGCCATCACTATGATAGGCAAACATTACTATTCCTTTTTTTCTGATCTGCATTTAAAAATTTCTATTGATGTTGAACCTTCAAAGACTGCTTCTTGAGTGAAAAGCTTGATTGGCTAGTTTTCTTGCATTTATCTGTGTTTTAAATTGTATGATGTATTGCTGGGATTTCTTTGCTATATTTTTTGTTCTGTCGTTGCCCAAGTTTCTTATTGTGGTAGTCATATTTTACCTTTTGATATAGTCTGACCTATTGGACTCTTAATAATATAATAGTGTTATTAATCCTTTATCACAGATGATTCCGTTTCTTCCAGTTTGTCATTGGTCTTTTTTTTTTGAATATATTTTTTTTATTCATTTCAGAGAGAAGGGGAGAGGGAGAGAGAGAGAGAAACATCAATGATGAGAGAGAATCATTGATCGGCTGCCTCCTGCACGCTCCTTATTAGGGATTGAGCGCACAACCCAGGCATGTGCCCTTGACCGGAGTCGAACCTGGGACCCTTCAGTCCGCAGGCCGATGCTCTATCCACTGAGCCAAACCAGCTAGGGCAGAATTTTCTTGACTGTAGTCTCCCATCATTTTTCTATTAGAGGAAATCTCAAAGACATAAAAGAGAAGAAATGAAGTCTTGGGGTCCTCTCATCTCCTTTAGTGTTCCAGGAGATTCTCAATTCAAAGTTGAGTAATGGCCAAGATATTTTTCTATTGGAATTTCATCTCTAGCTCACCAGGGTGAATTAAAATCTCATTTTTAAAGAATGCTTACGTCATTGTTGCTGAGTAGGCATTATTTGGTGGCAATTAAATATACTATGGGTTTCAAGACTGTTAATATCAAAACTGTATCCATTCCTATTATTGTTAATAGCATTAAGTAATGCTATAGTATGAAATTAGTATAGCTTAAATGATGTAAGTACAAGGAATATGTTTGATAATCTTTCAACTTTTTAAAAATGTTTTTTTCAGCCACCTGTCTTTACCAGTTTTCAAGACTATGTTACTGGGCTTCAGACTTTAATTTCCAATGTTGTGGATCATATTAAAGGGCTTGAAACACATCTGATTGCACTTAAACTTGAAGAACTTATTTTAGAAGACACTTCTCTCTCATTGGTAAGAGAATGTAGGCAATCAGTAATAAGTTATAAAGAAATATTGAAATGTTCTCTATCATAAGGACATGTTAATTTTCAACTCATCATTCTCCCCTTACAGGAATTCTGATTAGAAGGTGACTGCAGTAGTAGTTTGTTGTATCGGTGGGGGTGGGAGTATGGGTGGTGCATTTCCCCTCCTTTATTTCCAACCCCCTTGTCCCCCAGTCCCCAGCCTCCAATCAGTCCCAGGCCCACTATCCAGAACCATTCCCACCTCTCCCTCTTCTGTGTTTCTATGACACAATTATATCTGCCATTAGACTTTAAGACTTCCGGGCACTTGGGAACCGAGTGAATCTAAAGAAGTAGGTACACCCCAGATAGGATTCTTGCCTCCTATCGCCCACTTGAGTAAAGAGAGACACTTGCTGTCCTTTTGGTACACCTTTACATATAAGGAAATCTGGAAATTTGTAGTTACAGATTTGGAACTGTTTAATTTTTTACTTTTTAGACCAAATCCAAAGTCATTCTTTATTTGAAACTCACATCCCCTTTTCTGAATAATGTAGAAAAACAAAAACTCAAAATTACCGTACCTCTTAAAAAAACAAAAAAGTCTTAAAAGATTGCACACTTGAATGAATGTCACATTGCTTTATGTTGTTGGGCTTTGCTGGGTATCTTTGAGATTTTTATTTATTTTATTTAAAATATATTTTTATTTCAGAGAGAAAGGGAGAGAGGGGGGAGAGAGATAGAAACATCTATGATGGGAGAGAATCATCGATTGGCTGCCTCCTGCACATCCCACACTGGGGATCGAGCCCACAACCCAGGCACATGCCCTTGGCTGGAATCGAATCTGGGACCCTTCAGTCCGCAGGCCGACGCTCTATCCACTGAGCCAAACTGGCTAGGGTTCAATTTCTTTATAAAATGGAAATCATATTAATACCTACTTTTTAGGATTATAGTGAGGATTAAATAAAACAACAATGACCTTTTATTACTTACTTTTGTTAAAATTATTCTGCATTACTGAGCAGCACCAGCCACCAAATATAGGATCCATATAGTGCTGGGTACTTGTCTTTTGAGTTAAAAAAAAAAAAATCTTCAGTTTCCTTTAGGTTACTTCTTTCCTCCCCCCCACCCCCCCAAATTCCTTTCTAAACTGGAAACATTATCTAGAAGTCCTATGGACTACCACTGCCAGTCCTGGTCCCCTTTCCTCCTTCCTAGGAGTATCCACTGAAACTGGTTACGCACCAAGATCGTCTTATTTTCTTCTTTCATTTATATTCATAGAGAAAATACACAGTATTATATGTATCATTTTAAAACCACCTGGTTTTAATATAAACTTATAAGGTACTCTACTATCTGTTAGGTTTTTAAAATAAATGGTACACTATTTTATTCTGAAGCTGGGCTTTTTTGCATTTAATCTTATATTCATGAGATCTGTTCAGGCTAATGCATATAGGCCAATCTTGTTCTTCTAAACAGCTGTTTAGTATTCAAAATATGAATGCACCACAACTGCTGGCTATTTCAGCTTACAGTGGGGCCTTGACTTACGAGTTTAATTCGTTCTGAGACCGAGCTCGTTAAGGAGCTCGTTAACTCAAATTACTCTATCAACTCAATGCAAAAAATCGGCCCAGAGACAGCTGGTATCTCAAAAAACTTGTTAGTCGGGACACTCGTAAGTCAGGGCCCCACTGTATTTCTATAATTGACTTTTACATACAGTACTGAATGAAATACACTGAGTGGCCAGATTATTATGACCACCTGACGATTGTAGGCAAATTAGCTATAATTTCGCGCTGAAGTTGCTAGAGGGCCAGACCATTATAAATAGGGAAGCAGGTTGTTTACCACGACAG